TAATTTATAATTAGTATACAGTTCCGATAATTATTAAAAATAACACTTATCTTCCTCTAATTAGTTAATCATAATAAAATTAAAAAAGTTGCTGTATTGCATTTAGTTAATTTAAGAGAAGAAAAAAATAAAAAAAAAAATTTACACTAATAAATATATAATATTGTGATTCCTTACTAATTAACTTAACTAATTGTTCTCAAGTATCAGATTTGAATTCTTAATTAATATTTAAAAGGGCTGATTAGTTGGATTTGTAAAATATTTACTTTGTGAAACTAAAAGAGATAAAAATAAAAATTAGTGACAGTTATTATTGAATTGATTCAATTGAAAAAGAGCTTCATTATTTTTTGAAATAATTTAAAATTAATCTATCATGCCTTCTTCTAAGCCACCCACGTATCGCTGAATTTACCTTGATTTAAGTAATGTGTATATTGTAGGGACTTGGGTTTAAATTAAATAATTTGGGTACGTCTAATCTGGCTAATGCAAAGTGGTTGTACCCAATTAATTGATTGGTTGTTTAACATAATGATGATGATGATTAAAATTTTATTAGTTTTAATTAGTGTAGATATAATTCACCGAAAGCATCTAAAAAGAGTTAAATTCCAGTCTAAAAAATTTAAATTTCTAAATTATATTATGGAGATGATACATATTGCTATAGAAAAATATATAAATTTTTTTTTTTGCAAATTACATGTATATAACTGTTGCACATTTTTATTTAAAAATTGATTTTATAAAATGAAATATGAGAATTAAGTTGCTGGCGGTATTACAACATACGTGTTAAAAGCTTGTACGCATGTATAAATAAAAATTACATACTAGAAAACACGGTAGATATTAAATTAAATTTTTACCGTGTCAAAATCAAACTTTTTTTGGAATAATTCTTATAATATTATTTACCAACATATACACACACACGCGTACATATATATGGTTTATTAAACTGGTATCCATATGCACTGCTGCAGACAGAATAAGTAAAATTGTTTTCGCCCCATTTTTCCAAATGCATACATACAAGAAATCTGAAATTAAGCAAAGAAGAATGAAGTTGAAGTTACCGATTTGAAGGATGAAGTTAGATGTATTACTAGTTTTTGCATGTATAAACTAGTGTAATTAAGTTCTTAGTTAAAATAAATTTGGACATTTTAAATATAATACTCGGGCTCAAAAATCAGTTCGGGATGATTTTTTTATTTTTATTTTTTAAATATTTTAAAAGTAATTTTAATTTATTTTTATTAATTTTTGTTTAAAAAAATGAATTAGGAACGAAATTGAGAACAATTTTAAAAAAATTATATGATTCAGAGGATACTTTTGAAAGAAAAATTAAAAATAAGGGGGTTAAAAAACAAAAAAGAAAAATCCGGTCACGTGGGACGACTCACTAAGCACTCACGACGAACTAGAGCATGACGCGTGACAAAACATGCTGATATCGGCGCCACGCGGGCGATCCGCATACCCAGCGATTCGACGGTCCAGATTTAATCTCACGTGCGTGAACGGTCCAAATGTGTTCCCTATTTAAACGTGATTGAACGGTTAGATTTAATCTAATCATGCGGTGCAGTTTCATTCTTCGAATAAGATAGATCCAACGAACAAGAGAGGGTCACGCGTACCCGAACAGATGGTCCAGATCGACACGGGATGAATATTTAAATACTGTGTCGCAGAAAAACCCAACCCTAGCCACCCAGCCATTGACGGAGAAGAAGAACCAAACGTTGGAGAAGGAGGTCGATCCCTAATTGTCGCTGCACCGGAGCCACCGACGACTGCCAAAAAAGGTAAAACTTTTCTCTTCCCATTTAGAAATCGATTTCGAGTCTCCTTGTGGCCATATAAGAGCAAAAGAAACGACAGATGAACTGAAAACTGCGGGTAAAGTCCGAACTCCTCTAATGAGCCCCTTTCTGCTTCCTGTTTTACACAATTTTTCGACCTTTGTGTTCATCGTCCTTTTCTATGCAGGTTAGTAGGAGAAACCCCAGCCGTAAAGGAGAACCAGCAGAGCTGCCGCACCCAGAGACCCCCCCCCCCGCTGGTAGGTTCGGTTTCTTTTGATTTTCTAGCTAACTGAGGCACCATAATGTGTTTTTTTGCAGGGATATGTGTAAAATCGGCCAATATTGGCTAAAATCAGCCAAAATCGGCCAGATCAAGGTGAACCACCGGCATGGGTGGCAAAGCCGACGTCGAAGCACGGCAATGCCGCCGTGTTGAAATCCTAAAATTGGATGGAAAGAGTTTTTAACACTGATTTTGAGTTTTTAGAGTATTTTTAGGTACGTGATGTGTATTTTGATTCCTGTAGGAAAAATTCAGGAAATCTAAAACCCGTTAGGAGGCATAGTAGATAGTACAATATTTTGAAACACTGATCTGGATAAGGATCCCTCACCTTATTATCTGTTACAGTAAATTGATGATTAATAATCGATAATTGTGTGTTTATTGAAAAATTAAAAAATCCTAAAAAATAATTACAGGTAGTGGAGCCGGAATCGATTAGTTCACATTATTCTTGATTCCTTGTTTATTTTTCTGTACTGTTTAAACTGCTTACTATTATATTGTGTGTATTTAAATTGATAGTTTTTATAGTTTTCTCTATTATTTGGTTTATGTGGTTCCTCCTGTATCCTTTATTTGGTTTCTGGTTACTTAGTTATTCAGTTATGTTAAACTATATTGCTTGCTTAAATGTCATTTAAATAAATTAGTGAATATGAAATGAGACGTTAGCATGCTTTGATGGTTGTTTGGATGATGAGAATCTAAATAAATAAAAGCTTATTGGGCATCCTAGGAAAGGGTGAACGGATCCGGTACATAAGGAACCTTACCATAGACAATATCTCAGTCGAACAGGGTTGAGAAGTCCTATATCAGAAGGGTTTTGAGAGATATGATTCACCCTCATATCGGACGGAGTATTGAGCAATGGTGTTTTTGGTGCCTATTACCGGAAAGGGTATGAGGACGACTGATTTAATTTTCAAATCTTGATACTCGGTTCACGAGTAGAAGGATATCCCTATGGACCCCAAGAGATCCTACTAAGTAGGTTAAAAGGAAGAATTACTGATCTTATGTACGAAATTAAAATATTATTTGGCTATTTGTCTTCATAAGTTATTTTTGGAAAAACCTGTAATGGTAAGTATAGAATAAAATGTTTTAGAGTTAAAATTATTTACTTAAATCAAGGGCTCTATTAGTTATTTTGTGATATTTATTAACTTTCGATTTTTTGTATCAGTGATTAGTGTGATATTCTTACTAGGCTAGTGTAACTCACCATTCTATTAACTATTTCAGATTAAGAAGACCAAGATCCAGATTCCGATCAGCAAGAGAGTTGTGAGTAGTTCATCTCCTGAACTCCTTTCAAGTGTTAGTGAAGGTTAACCCCTAGGATATCTATTTATTTGTTTTTAATTACCGTTTGTCTTTTTATGAACAAATGCAGAAGGGACATTCCCGTAGCTCTATTGAGCATTCTAATTTATTATGTAAGGAATGTAAATCCTAACTGTATTATTTATTTCCACATTAAAGATAATAAATTCATTTTCTTTAAGGTTTCGGGTCTTTACAGTTAGTATCAGAGCCACATTTCTCGGAACTATTCCTTACACAAAGACCTAAAAACACCAAATACAAACTATCGTTCAACCATTCCTTGTGAAATATAGGTACAAGGATATGAGGAGAGGAAGACCCCCACTAAACTGAGTAGCCCATGATGGTTCACTTTAAGAGGATGTTGATCGACTCTTTGATATGCTGAAGAGACTCATCTCTGCCCAGTAGTTCGGGAGGAGAAGAGGGAGTTGCCTGACCCTCCCCTACTGCCACAGTTTGAGCCACCTTTGCAGTGGAAAGATCCGTAGCCACCCCAGTACAACCTTGCTCTTCCATCATATCATCTGGCACAGCCACAGTACAATCCGGTGCCTCCACCGTATCATTCGGCACTGCCACAGGGCCACCCGGTCCCTCCCCAGCACAATCCAATCCCTATTCCATGAGACCTAGTTCCACCCATGATGGATCCAGCCTACATTGAAAGGTACAAAAAAATTAAACCCATCTACCTTTGCAGAGGCATCCTCTTTCGAAAAAGTCGAGTATTGATTAGTTGAGATAGAGAAGGCACTCACAACTCTTGGGGTGGTTCCTTAACAAAAGGTTATACTCGCCACCTACATGTTCGTGGAAGATAAAAGTTGCTGATGGTAGCTTAAGCAGGCCACCCTACCCGTTCTAGTCACTTGGGAATAGTTCTTGATGGCCTTCAATGCAGAGTACCTCCCAGAGCACATCCGACATTTGAAGAAAATGAAGTTTGCATACCTAGTTCAAGGTGATATGACTGCGTCGGAGTATGCCCGAAAGTTCTTAGAGTTGGACCGGTATTCCCCCGAAAGTATGATAGATGAAGGCAAAAAGGCAAGAAAGTTTGAGTGAGGCCTTCGTCTTGAGATCAGATAGCAGCTGTACGTATATGAACGCTCCTACTCAGCCATTCTAGCCAAGGCACAGCTAGTGCAAAGGAACTTT